TGGTTCTAGGTTTCCAAAGATGATCAAGATCACTGAAAGGTCAAGAAACGAAATTGAACATTAATCCTTTTTTCCCCGGCAAATTGACAAAAATCTAGGTGGTATGGTTAAAGTTAAAATTTAGGTACTTTAATCTTTTATATTTAACGATAATATTAATTTTATGGATTGAAAAAGACCTGAAACCCAAGCACTTAATTAAAACCCATAGCACCTAACTGACCGTTTTATATCCGTGGGGTTTGTAGGTGAATTCCTTTTGTGTAGTCAAAGGAATGGTAATGCTAGGAAGGGGTGAAGTTTATTTCCTAGATCAGTTAGCAAACTATGTCAACTCTAATTACTATTGATTGTCTTTATATCTTAATAGTGTTTGTGCCTCAGTTCTTGTGAGGCCCATTGTTTGGATGGGAAATGCTGAAATCTGTTTCATTTACTTTTGTCAGGATTTTTTTTTTTTTTAGTTAGTGCTACACATAATGTGTGTGAGAGTGCTGGTTCACACCTCAAATCGTTGTAGTGGCCATAGCTGGCGCAGTCTGAAGTCAGGAGTCTTCTACATGGGTGCAGGGGTCCAGGACTGGGGCCATCTTCTGCTGCTTTCCTAGGCGCATTAGCAGGGAGCTGGATCAGAAATGGAGATACTGGGACTCAATCCCTTTCCCACACTGGATTTGGATTTCCCGTATTGCATTTGGCACTTCAGGTGGTTCTTCAGGTGGCTATGCCATAGCACCTGCCCCTTGTCAAGATACTTTGCTCAGAGTATCTGCTGGCTGACCGCTTGTCACTGCTTGCTTTAGGTCCAGCTGTGGCTATTTGATCTTCCTGGCTTAGTGTAAATTGCCTCTTTGCTCATCTCCCCGCTTCTGTCCTTGACCTTTTTTGTATGCGGCAGCCAAACAGGAAAAGCATGGTACCACTTAACACTTTGCTTCGAACTCCGTTTGAAATTCTCTGGAAGATGTAGCTCAGAGAGTATTGTCATTTCCTTGAACAGAAGTGGATGTCTGAGTAGCAAGAACTAAACAGATGAGATTTCTCCTCCCTTTTGGGTACACATTTCTCACCCTTCTTTTTGGATACTGAGTTCCATCTACACTTAGATCATTTCTATTCCTTTTAAGAATCATTTGCTTGTTTGAAAGGTAGAGACATAGGGAGAGAGGGATGGAATGCAGTAGTGAGGGTTGTAGGGAGAGTGTGTGTGTCGGAGTTAGGTCAGACTGAAGCCAGGATCCAGGAACTCCTTCCAGATCTGCCACTCGTGGCAGGGAAACAAGAACTGGGGATATCATTTGTTACTTTCCCAGGTAGCTTAACAGGAGGTTGGAATGGAAGCAGAGCAGCTGAGACTTGTGTGGAAAGCAGTGGCTTAGCTTGCTCTGCCATCACGCAGCCCTGCTGCTTTGCTACTCCTTGGAGAGCCAGAGCTGTTGCAGCAGCCTGAAATGAGCTTCTTCCAGATTTCTGTGTAATTAATTCCTCCTTCAGTTCTCTGTTTTTCTTTCATTTGCCTTCCTCCGTAGCCACCTTCTGCAGTCACCTTAGCCCTCTCCTCATAGCCCTTCCTATTCAGTATTAGGACTTTTTTCTTTCCTAGTGGATGCCTGCTCAGCACCTAGGCATCCAGTAACTTCACTGCGTGGTTATCTGGATTTCCAGTTTGTTCTCTAGTGGCTTCTTTCTCTACCCTGAGGGATATTCTGGGCACTCAATGGCTGGAGGAAATGAAACTGCTCTGGTGTAACCAATGTGTTGGGAGAGGTTACCTGTGTGCTTCTTATCTCTGCTCACTACTCAGGTTTTGAAATTTTTGCCCTAAGATTTATTTTATTTTTATTGAAAAGTCAGATATACAGAGAGAAAGATCTTCTGTCCATTGATTTACTCCCCAAGCGGCCACAGAGGCTGGAGCTGCACCTATTTGAAGCCCAGAGCGTCTTCCAGGTCTTCCATGCGGGTACAGGGTCTCAAGTCTTTGCGCTGTCCTTGACTGCTTTCTCAGGCCACAGGCAGGGAGCTGGATGGGAATCGGGGCCTCTGGGACACGAACTGACACCCATATGGGATCCAGGCACATCCAAGGCAAGGACTTTAGCCACTAGGCCACGCTGCACGGGCCCAATTTTTGATATTCTTTACGAGTTAAAGGTTAGAATGACAGTGGGGGAAGGGGCAGAGGAGGGAAAGAAACAGACAACTTCCATCTGCTGGTTCACTCCCCAGTGGCTGTACTTGAATCTAGAAACTTACCACATCTGTGTTTCCTGCATGGGTGGCAGGGGCCCAAGCACTTGAGCTGTTGTATGCTATTTTCCTAGCTGTATTAGCAAGGAGCTGGATCAGAAGCAGAGCTCATGGGACTTGAACTGGCACTCTGATGTGGGATGTCAGTGTCCTAAGCAGTGTCTAGGACTGCTGTACTGCAGTGCCCACCGCTCTAAGTAACTTTTCTGTTTGGAACCAATGCTTTTTCTCCCATCCAAGTACTAACCAGGCCCGACCCTGCTTAGCTTCTGAGATCAGACGAGATTGGGCGCGTTCAGGGAGGCATGGCCGTAGACCAATGCTTTTTCTAATGTGGCTTGTTTTATATGAATGTTTTAACATTGGGAGCTTTTCTTTTGTTCAGCTGGCAACTAACTTTTGAAGCGGATACAGTTGAGATAGGCTGGGGCTGGAATTTATGGCAGAACCTAGAGATTGTGAACGTGTCTTTCTCTTGAGAAGCTGATTGGTGTGTGGTTGGAAGTGTCAGCTCTTAGGATGACAACGTGCTGTAATGAGGAACGCAGAGGAAGGTGGGAACACTGGGATGGTCACCCAGGTCCCTGCGGGAGGGTGAGAATCTGAGGGGTGGGCAGGAACTGTCAAGGTGAGGGCAGCGGGCGAAGGAAAGGGATGCTTTTTTTTATGAGGACATCAAGAGCTTCCCTTGTTTTGAGAAGCACCCACAGTGATTACAGCTGCCCTCTGTAACTGCAGCTTCTGCATCCATGCATTCATAACCAGGGAGGGAAAATTTTGGGGGGAAAAAACCCCGCAAAAATGCTAGACTGCATTTTATAGGCTTTATATTTTTCTGTTATTGTTCCCCAAACAATATAGTTAGTGTGTGTTTACCTAGCGTCTGCATTGTGTTGGGTATTGAGAGATGATTTGAAGTGTGGAAAGGAGAGGCATAGGTCATATGTAAATACTTTGTCATTTTTATTTGAAAGATTTTAAGAGACTTGAGTTCACAAGTCCTGGAAGCAATCCTTTAGGGATCCCAAGAGCAGCCGGACAGCGTAGCTGCTGGTGGCTGAGGCCGTGGGAGTTGTGGCAGTACCAGAAGTGGCTGCTTCTAAAGGAGCGTGTTTACAGAATGAAAATTTATCTGGCAGAGTGTTTGCTCCTTTGGTTTATAAATTCATAAAACATTGCAGGCTTTGATTTTTGTTTTGTTTCGTTTTTATGTTCTTCATAGCTCCTCTCATGTACATTGGGAGCTAGATGGTCATTTAAGCTTTTGTTTTTGTTTATGTGTTTTTGCGTTAAGATACTTGTTTTTACTTGAAAGGCAGAATCACAGAGAAGGGTAGACAGAGAAGATCTTACATCTGCTGGTTCATTCCTGGAATGACTGAAGAGGCTGGGCTGGTGGAAAACCAGGAGCCTGGAACTTTGGGCCTCACATATGAATGCAGGGCCCAAACACTTGGGCCGTCCTGGGCTTTCCCAGGCCATTAGCAGGGAGCTGGCTGGGAAGTGGAGCAGCTGGGCCTGTGCTGCAGGTGGTGATATTACCCACAAGAACAAAGCACTGGCCAATAAACTTTCTCTAAATGAGTGATCATCATATCCCTGCTTGTAGCTTTAGATTTGTTTTGCTTTGTTTTTGCCCTTGATCTGTTTTAACCTCTTATTATCCCGTCACATGTTTTCCTCCTCTTACTCCATCCTTTAGGTCTCAGCTTTTCTTTGCGTCCTAAAATTTAAATGGTTTTTTAGAAAAACATAGAAAGGAAAACTGTTCCAAGTGGGTTTCTGTTTGGGCTGTTAGTCGTCAGGTTCTGTTACTCAATCTGGAAGTATTTTGGTTGGGAGTCCTTCCTGAGGCAGTCATTCCAGCACTTCCCACTCATCTTTGTCTTCCCTCTGTGTGCAGTGAATGGTGCAGGACTCTTCCTGTTCACTGGCAGCACACTTAGTTAGGTCTGTGTTTTCAAAGCAAAACATGCTGTTTGCTTTTCTACTTTGTTTTCCTATAATCTCTGCTCTGAGCTCCAGATGCATGAAGTTCCTCTCCATTCTGACAGTATTTCCAAATATTTCCCATTCTGAAATGCTGTCTTCTAATTCCTCCACCTTTTAAGAAGTCTTACCTCTGCCTTTTTCTGGGAAAATGAGTTCCGATGCACCCAGATGGTATTATTGGGTATTTCAGGTGTATGTTTTTGCATTGAGGACTATTCAGCCTGTAGATGTGAACTTGTATGGTGAGGACAAATCTCTCTTTCTATGTCTTGAGTATGTCAGCCTGGGATCTGGAGGCTCTGCTAGATGGTTTGTAAGTTATGGCCTACCTATTATGACCAGCTGAAAGCACACCTGAGTACACTGTGTCTGAAGGATGTTGAACACCCTCTTCACTTAGATTAGACCTCTGCAGGTGTTGTGTATGAGAGGGAATTGCTTTTTGGAACTGCTACACTAAAGCAACATCTGTTGTGAACTTGCAAAGTTCCATTTCCTCTGATTCTTAGGCGTCCATAGTAAAGGTTGATGAATTTGTGCCAGGAATAGAAGCTTCACAGGTAGAGGGGTATAAAGGCTATTGGTGTTTCAGGCTCCTAGGAGAGGTGAAAAGATGTCCCTAAAAATTGTGGAAAGTGACGGTAAGTAACTCAAAAAGGAGTTCCCGAAGGGAGCCTCATAAGCTATTTGGGAGAAATAACTGCTGACCTTGAGCACCCAGTAATTCAGTGTCGATGATCAAATTGTCTTCTCTGCAGAGACTGTCCCAGCCATCATGGAGGTGGCTGAGGAAGAGAGTCCTCTGAACCCCAGCTGTAAGATAATGGTCTTCCGACCCTCCATGGCAGAGTTCCGGGAGTTCAACAAATACCTCGCGTACATGGAGTCCAAAGGAGCGCATCGAGCAGGTCTTGCTAAGGTGATTTTCCTTTACATGAAGGAACAGTTACTTGGCCTTTAAATTATACTTTTAGGCTTCACGAGGTGGGACATTGTTTCTTTCAAAGGAAGATAGTTGGTATCTTTGTTCTAGTTAATGTATGTGGAGCAATTCATTTCTTAAAGATAATGATCTTATGTTTCTTCTATGGCTTAGTTGTGTTCTAAAGCTTTTTCTGTTTCTCACTCTCTTTTCCCTCTATTTTCCTTCCTTCCTTCCTTCCTTCTTCTTCCTTCCTTCCTGAGACAAAAAAAAAAAAAGATGGCTGGTTCGTGGAAACCAAATGGGTCCATATGTGGGGTTATTCAGTTTTCATATTTTCCATACAGTATAGTGATTTGCCTGAATCTTAACCACTACCTTAAGTGTTCTTTTCTCCCTTGCAATTTTTGCTTCTCCTGTGTTTTTCATTTTCTTTTAAAAATATATACATTTGTCAATGTATAATTTACATATCACATAATATCCTCTTTTAAAGTATTTAATTATGTAACAATGATTTCTAGTTTATTCACACTGTTGTGTCACTACTCTATTGAATTCCCTCACTCTCAGTAGAAACTGCATCCTCATTTATTAGAAACTCCTTATCCCATTCTTTACTATGCACCCCATCCCTAGGTAACCACAAGTCCAGTTTTTTTTTCTCTGTAGATTTGCCTATTTTCTTTTCGGTTATTGGCTGATGAAGAATAGCGATGTCTACTGTATGCTAGAAACCAGGCCAGGTGCTAGGGTGTTTGTGCAAGTGGAGGTAGTGGGGATAGGACCGACCAAGTTCCTGACTCCACGAACTTACATTCCAGTGCTAGTATCTTAGGGTGAGGATATCATTGCATTTAAGGTGTGGAGACGGAAAAAAAGCAAATCCAAGAGCATGGAGGTTAACTTTGGAAGTTAGGGGAGGAATAGAAAGGTAATTAGAGCAGTTGGGACATAGGACAGGGAGGAGAGTTGTAAATGAGGCAAGGATAGAGCTCAGATGTTTTCAGGCTTGTGTGGCCATGAGAAGGCCTTACAGGTCTTATTCCAAGTGCAGTGATAGCTATAAACTGGGAAAGGAAGATACAGTGGTGGTGTGCAAGGAACTGGATGGGAAGTGGAATAGCGGGATATGAACCAGCGCTTATATAGGATGCCAGTACCACAGGGAGGGGTATGATCCTGTTGAGCCATGGTGCTAGCCCCTGTCTATTCTTGTTTTTCTAGGTTCTAGATAATATTGTTAGAAAGTGGTGATGTGAATTACGAAATGTAGGTATTACTATGAATGTTCAGGATCTTAGGCAGGTCACTAAAACCCAAATTGCATGATTAGACTCACAGAATCTCAGTTGGTGCTTTGAAAGAGAGATTGTACGATTCATGCTTTGAACATAATTTGAGATATAATAGAAATCTGTTTTGTCTTAGAACTTTTCCTTGGAAGAATATATTTTATTGCACTTAAGTTTATAATATGTGTTTCTATAGACTTGTCTGCATTATCACAGAAATCCTGTGTCTTGGGGAGCAAACTGCTCAACAGTCCCTGTTTGAAGGGCCTTCTTTGGAATGTCAATTTGTTCTGTGAAGGTTAAGTTGCCTGGAAAGCAGTTGTTAGGAGAGACTTTACAGAACTGTAGGGATAGGCTTTCAGATCCCATCTGCCCCTGATGCTGCCTGCACCCCAGTTCTTGGCTGTTTCTGGTCTTGTCCCTTTGAATCTGTCATTTTGTCTTGTATCGGGTCAAGTCCTTCATAGAAAAGGTTTAAGATGTAAAGGGGTTAAGCATAATAACAGTTAATTAGGTGAGTGTGAATGATAAAAATGGGGCAGAGGAGAGATGAGGAGAAACGAAAGGAAAGTAAACACTTATAATGCATTTGTCTGGTGAGATGTTCTTTGTGTGAGAAGTTAAGGACATGTATGTATTTGGATGCTTTAGCAGCTTAGATGTCCACATTCCATATTGGGCAACCTGGATTCTATACCTACCTCTGATACCTGACTACAGCTTCTTATTAATGCAGACCCTGGAAGTCAGCAGGTGATGATAACTCAAGTTGGGACATCCTGCCCCCCCCCCCCCCAAAGTGGGAGACCCGCTGAATGTCCATCTTCTGGCTTTGGCCCCAGCCTAGTCCTGGGCGTTGTAGGCATTTGGGTAGTGAACCAGCTGATGATGCCTCTTTCTTTCTCTACCATCAAAAAGAAGCTAAGGGTTGCTGGTTTAAAATTAGCTTTGTTTGTTTATTTATGTGTTTGACAGGGTGACAGAGAGGGTGTGAGAGATCAAGAACAAGAGCAGATGAAAGAGAAAGAGCTTCCATCTATTGGTTGACTCCCTACACAGTTAAATTAATGGGCTGGGCCATGCTGAAGTCAGCAACCTTGAATTCCATCTGGGTATCTTGAGTGAGTGGCCGTGGTCCAAATACTTTTCTGTTCTGCAGACACATTAGCAGGAAACTGGATTAGAAGTGGGGGCAGCTGGGACTCGATATTTTACTTGGATATGGCCTGCTGGCATGGCAAGCAAGTTCTTATTCTGCTCTCCTGCCATGCCGGTCTCAAGGTGTTTATTTTTGTTTATTTATTTATTTGTTTATTTTGGTAAGAATTTATTATTTTTACTTCAAAGGTAGAGCTACAGAGAGAAAAATGGAGGGGGGAGGTAGGGGAAGAGAGAGAGGAGCAGAGGAGAGGAGAGAGAACACTTTCCATTCTCTGGGTCACACTTCAAATTGCTGCAGTGGTCAGGGCCAAGCATTTGGACCATCTTGCACTGCTTTCCAAGGCCATTAACAGGGAACTGAATCAGAAGTTGGGAATCGAATCAACGTCCATATAGCAGCTTTACATACTGTGCTATAGCACCTGCCCCGACAAGAATTGCACTAAGATTTTTCGAACCTTACCATTTTCAGATTATTTTGGAGAAAGAAAAAAATTCTTCTTTATTTTAGGAGAGAGTGTTATTTTAGAACTACTGATACAATTTTTACAATGAATTTGCTAGGGTCAGGCTTTATTTGGGTGGGCTGGGTAAGAGTGCTGGGGATGGATGTCTCTCCCTTTCTCTAAGCTATGAATGCAACCCTTTGTCCTATTCGTCCTTTTGTTTCTTGAAGTGGTAAAACATGCTGTGTTCCTCTGAGATTGATAGAATGTCTTGTGGTAGGGTTTTAGAATAGCCTGTTTAGTAACTGTAGAGGATAAAGCAGAAGTGACCTTCTCAAGGGAGCTGCAGGCCCATGGAATACACCTGTGCTACTGGCAGGATTATGCAATAACGTTAATTAGAACTACAATGACAAACCACACCTGAGTCCAGCAGCGTGTAAAACTGACAAAAGTTACAGACATTCATGTATTCAGTCCTGTGCTTATATCTTAATATGTGTTTGATTAAAAAATGAGCTTTTTTTGTCCAATAATTTTTAGCATTTTTTACATAGAGTCATGGGAAGAATTTTACTTATTTTCCCTCTTGTTCTGGAAGAGATAATAATAGCAAATGCACAAAAGTGCACCAGATCAGATAATCTTGTAAAGAACAAGGCTGCGTACATACAGCCCATATGTTAGGCATATCCCTTGAGAGCAGGATATTAAGTGTGTGTTTTCAATAATAGATACTGTTGATGTTTGTATTCTGATCTTTAAAGAACGTACCTTGAAAGAAAGAAAATGTGTAGTATTTCTATGTTGCTGCTAAAAGTTGACAGTAAAATACACATCTTCAGTGCTTTACAAAAAGAATTTGAAGTAAACCACTGTGTCACTGAATTGTATATAAATTAACAGTTACTCATCTCTGGTCAGTCTCCATTTGGTGAAGTTTGACAGCAATCATATATTCAAATCTTACAAAGTTATTGAGTGAAATATAAGATGAAACTCAGAGAATATGTACTGTATGGTTACATTTTCATGTGTTTCAGAAACAAGAGGTTCTTTCACAAGTATAAAATTGAAAGTCCAGTAAGGAAATAGTTGCATTATGACTTGAGTAAGATGGGGATATCTTTGGGGAAGGATACCTTGTGGTTCTAGAGATATGGTCCTTCCAGCCCTTACGGAGCAGATATCCTTATGTGTGCTTTGCACGCATTTACAGAGCTATGTATTTGTGAGTTCTGTTTTCTCTGTGTCTCCTGTGTTTTCCAATAAAGGTTTTAAAACTTGTATTTAAATAATTAAAATAACTTCTAATGATAAAGCATTTAAACTAAATCCTGACCTATTTCTTGACACTTAAATTGTATGAATATAGATTTTTGGTCTTAGTATTATAGATGTTTTCATTGCTAGTGGTTAAATGTTTAGCTACTATGGGAAAGCAGTGGCGTATTGAACCGCCTCTTCCTGCTATTTGATAACTGATACTGCATGTCTGTTCCCAGTCATGTTTCTTTAATGGTGTCATTGGTTAAGTTCAAATTGGTCATTACAAGAGAAGTTATACCAACAGAATAGATAGAAGCTGTAAATGAACGTCTCTCCCACCTTAAGCTGCTTGTTAAACATTTACTAGCATAGCATTGTGCTATTTGCTGTATTACATGAAAGATTTTTATGGGAAATAATATTAACTAAATAAATATTTTCTTATTTTTTTGCATATAAACAGCCTAGTTTGATGTGTACATAAGTTCTGATAAAGACAAACTTTTTTTGAGAAACAATGATTTATGTAAACATAATTTTATCTTCTGTTCAGAGGTTAACAGAATGACTTAGTGTGAATTCTGATGTCATATTGTTCCAATTTGAATTTGCAGCTGAAGTAGTCTCTCACTATTAGAACTTGAGCTTTTTCAGTGTGTCATTAAATTCTATCTTTAAAATTGAATTAATATTAATTAAAAACTAAGTTAATGCAAGAATTGATAGGGTGAGACTCAATAAATTTTGCTGTTTAAAAAGTTATTCTCTTTTTATGAATATCCATGATTTTTTTTGTTTCCTTGTTTTTTAAAGAGGAGATGCGTAGAAAACTTCTGTTGTAGTATGTTGGGATATAATTGTGCACTAGCTAGTTGGAATATTTTCAGAATAATTTTTTATTTTATTATGTTACTTTTAGGTGATTCCTCCTAAGGAATGGAAACCAAGAAAGTGCTATGATGACATTGATAATTTGCTTATTCCAGCACCGATTCAGCAGATGGTAACTGGGCAGTCAGGATTGTTCACTCAATACAACATCCAGAAAAAAGCCATGACCGTGAAGGAGTTCAGGCAGTTGGCCAACAGTGGCAAGTAAGTAGATTACTGTTTGCTATCTTTTTATTAGTACTGACTTGAAAGACACAGAGAAAGGGAGAAACACACAAACACAGAAAGAGAGAGAGATGAAGAGAGAGAAAGAGAAAGAGATACCGTCCAGTCTCAGCGGTGGGCTGAAACCAGGAACCAAGAGCCAGGAGCTCTGAATCAGCCACATTGTACAAATGCCCATTCGCTTGAGCTGCCTTGCACTGCTTTCTGAGGTGTTTTGGTAGGGAGCTGGATTGCAAGTGGAGCAGCCAGGGTTCTTGGTGCCCATATGGGATGCTGGCATAGCAGGTATGGTCTGGCTATACCCAGTATGTCACAGAGCCAGACCTTTAACATTCTTTTATGAATACAGTGTTATTCAAACAGTTGTACAAGCAATTTTACCTTTTCTTGAAAGATTTATTTATTTTTATTGGAAAGGCAGATATATAGAAAGGAGAGACAGAGAGGAAGATCTTCTGATGATTCACTCCCCAAGTGGCCACAATGACTAGAACTGAGCCGATCTGAAGCCAGGTGCCAGGAGCCTCTTCTGGATCTCCCACACAGGTGCAGGGTTCCAAGGCTTTGAGCCATCCTTGACTGCTTTCCCAGGCCACAGCAGGGAGCTGGATGGGAAGCGGGGTTGCTGGGATGAGAACCAGTGCCCATATGATATCCCAGCATATACAAGGCAAGGACTTTAGCCACTGTGGTATCGTGCTGGGCACAATTTTACCTATTTCTAAGTATAAACTGTTATGTTATCATCTACTAGTTAGATGGTTGAATAGAACCTCAGTTTTGATAACTTTGATATTCCACAGGATAGTTTGTATGTTAAGAGTAGTTTGATTACATTTCCTATCAAAATTAGCCTTGGCAATCAGCATAGCTACCACAGGGGCCGTGCAAAGTGCTCTGTGGTTTCCTGGGAGGAGAGTAGGCATTGATGTTTGTTACTAAAGGAAGGAGTTTTATTTTGTAGATGCTGCTGAAGGATACTGAGAAATAGTTTTAGCACTTGTAAAAATAATGCATGAGTATTTTAAAATTTAGGCATTGAGGCAGTGTCAAATTTTGACATGGAAGTTTTAGAGACAATAATTTAATGATTCAGTTTCCCCCTCTAAAGATTTGCTTATTTTTATTGGAAAGGCAGATTTACACAGAGGAGAGACAGACAGATCTATTTGCTGGTCTAGTCCCCAAATGACTGCAAGTGCAGACCTGAGCCAATCTGAAACTAAGATCCAGATCTTCTTATGGGTCTTCGTGTTGGTGCAGTTCGCAGGGCTTGGGGCATTCTACACTGCTTTTCCAGACCATAAGCAGGGGGGCTGGATGGGAAGTGGAGCAGCCAGGGCATGAACCGGTGCCCCTATGGGGTCCCAGTGCACAGAAGCGGAGGATAAGCCAATTGAGTCATCATGCTGGACCCTTTTGTTACCAGTTTTGAACAATTTGGTGGGTTGGAAGAACAGTTGCAATTCACCCTGCATTAGGGATGGTCTTTTCTGGCAGGATTCGTAAATATCAGGTGCCAGCCAGTTGAAATGGTTTCCTGTTTTCAAGGTCAGAATTAGTGTTCATTTAATTTCTTTTGCTAATTTTCTCTGTATAGTTCCAATTTTAGTATATGTGCTGCTGAAGCAAGCAGTATTCATTTAATTTTTAAAGATTTATTGTTTGGGGCCCGGTGCAGTAGCTTAGTGGCTAAAGTCTTCTTGTATGTGTGCCGGTGCATATCCAGGCAGCCCCACTTCCACCCAGCTTCCTGCTTGTGACCTGGGAAAGCAGTTGAGGAAGGCCCAAAGCTTTGGGGAACCCTGACATCTGTGTGGGAGACCCAGAAGAAGCTCCAGGCTCCTGGCTTTGGATTGGCTGAGCTCTGGCTATTGCGGCTGCTTGGGGAGTGAATCTGCGGACAGAATATCTTCCTCTGTTTTTCTGAGTCCTCTTTGCATATCTGACTTTCTAATAAAAAAAAATAAATCTTAAAAATATTTATTACTTGAAAGGCAGAGAGCGAGAGAGAGAATATGGTGATGAAAGAAAGATTTTCCATGGGCTTTTTCACTTGTCTCATGGCTGCAATGGTCAGAGTTGGGCCAGTCCAGAGCCAGGGTGCAAGAGGTTCTTAGGGTCTCCCATGTGGATGGAGCAACTTGAGCTGCGTGAGGAGTGGAACAACTAGGACGTGACTCGACCCACTATGCCCCAGCTCTAGCTTTCATCAGTTTACTTCAAATATTCAAATATTTTGTAGTTTATCCTTAATGGACAATGTAAAATCAGAGTTACAGGTTTTGAAAAATTGATTCCGTTATGGTATTCAGTGCCATTTTCATGGTGTAAGGTAGTTTGCTTGTTTAGAAGATCTAAGAAAAGGTAATGTGTGCTGCTTTCCTTAAGTAGGGATTTACACCTGTCCGTATCATGTGACTTCGACCTTTAGCTGGTGCTGGCATTCCTGGTGTTACTGGCACTCACTATAGAAGTGGTAAATGAGGTCAAGCTATGGTTCTTTCTTGGTCATCCTTTCCGTTTTTATCTGCTCTGTGAGGTTGCAGTGTCCTGAGTAGACCGTCAGATTGTTCTTAATTTTCAATATGAAATTGTCAAATGAAGTTTAATGTTCTTGCTTATTAGAAAGATAACCCATTTGGATGCCTTGCCTAATTGATACAGGTATTGATTGTATAATCTGAAATGTTTAATGTACTTTTCAAGGTTACTACGACTGTAAATTACATTTAAATTTTTTTGATTGTTTTCTCAATTACTTTCATACTTTATAAGAAAATGGTGGCATAAAACATGAATATTGTTCAAAAATGTAAAAAATAGAGATATAAATGCTTTTCTGTAATTTCTACATCAATAAAAGCTGTCAGTACTTTAGAATACATCCTTCCTGACCTATTAGCATACAGTTAGGTATTTTTTACTCAAAAAGCATAGTATGCATATTACTTTGTATACTGTTCAACACTTTAAAGAAAAAAATCACTAGTTTTTAAATATTAGCTTGTGTTAATATCATGGATAATATGTCTTACACAAGTCAGTGATGTTAGTTGTATTTTAACGACCAGGGCACACATTTGTAAAGTCTCCTGGATAGTGTTGAAATACTTGAAAAGTTGTGTTCCCACTCCAGATGTGTAAGAGATCTCACTTAAATATGCTTTAAACCTACTTGTTTACTTTCATTTATTTGAATAGTAAAGAAAGAAAGGGAAGGAAAAAAGAGAGATGTGAGAAAGAAAGAGCGAGACATTGGCTCCTTCCCACATGCTTGAGGCAGGTAGGTGTTGACCAGGGTTCACCCAGAGTCTGGAATTCATTCACTGGCTTCCTTGTGTGTGATGTAAACCTAAGTACCTGAGCCGTCACCTCCTGCCCCCTCCCCTGATGTGCATTAGCAGGAAGCTGGATCAAAAGCAGAGGCAGGACTGCTCCCAAAGGCCCTCTGTAAGGGATGTTGTCATTCCTTGCTGCAGAGGTCTCCTTACCCCATTATTATTATAATAAAGATGCAAGAATCTAGGAATGAGAAAGCATCTTATGTGAAATTATTTTCTATTTGAGAAGTTCACTTGTCACATACCTCTGATGTCAGGCTGAACAAGGACTAAAGCCAGAGATAGGAGTTCAGTTCAGATCTTCTTTGTGTATGGCGGGAACTCGTGTGTTTGGTATAACTGTCATCTCCCAAGGTTTGCATTACTAGGAAGCTATAGTCAGGAGCCAGAGTTAGATGTCACAACTCGGGTACTCCAATATAAAATGTGGGTAGCCTGACTACTTGCTAAGTGAGCCTGTAGATGGAAGATCAGTGTTTCACTCAGCCTTTTCCCCCTCAACTCTATCTTTCAAATAAATAACTAAAATACATCTTAAAGAATAACTATGAAATATATAGTTAATTTAGGAACTTTAAGTGTATGCAGGTATTTATGATAAATGCACTTGAAACTATCACTCATTAGATTATACGATATAGGTATCCCCAATGTTTTCATTTAGATTAGATTTTGTTTAGAAAGAAATTCAAATCAAACTGGTGTGAAAGGTCGTAGAATTGTTTCACTGATTTGTCCTAAAATTTATCTTTTACAGATATTGCACTCCAAGATACTTGGATTATGAAGATTTGGAGCGCAAATATTGGAAGAATTTAACTTTTGTGGCACCTATCTATGGTGCAGATATTAATGGGAGCATATATGATGAGGTAATGAAGTTTGTGAGGAATCATTTGTTATGGGCCTGGCATAATGGCTGAATGGCTAAATCCTCACATTGTAAGTGCCAGGGTCCAATATGGGCACTGGTTCATGTCTCAGTTGTTCTGCTTTCCCACCCAACTTCCTGTTTATGGTCTGGGAAAGCAAGAGAGGATGGCCCAAAGCCTTGGGACCCTGCGCCCACATGGGAAACCTGGAAGAAGCTCTTGGTTCTTGGCTTTGGGTCAGCTCGGCTCTGGCCATTGTGGCTATTTGGGGAGTAAACCAGTGGAAGGAGGGTCTCTATTTCTCTTCCTTCCCGTAAATCTGGTCTACCTTTCCAATGAAAATAAATAGATTAAAACAAAAAAAGGAAAAATTTTTTATTAGTACATTTAGACAGTTGAGACTCAGTCATCTGTTGTGCTTTGGTCAGTATTTCTTCAGAGGACAAGAAGCAGTGTGAAGACTCACAGGTATGATTTCTAGTTTAGTGTTTTCCAACCGAGGCCACTGCTGACTGAACCAACACCTGAGATTCTTCAATGGCAGTGAAATATGTTATCTGGTTACACTTTCTTTGCATTGAGTTTTTTTTCAAAGATTTTATTTATATTATTTGAAAGGCAGATTTTACAGAAAGGAAAGACAGAGAATTCCTTTTTTTTTTTTTTTAAATCTTAAAGGTTTATTTCATTTTTTTTTTTTTTTTATTGGAAAGTCACATATACAGAAAGGAGAGACAGGAAGGTCTTCCGTCCGTTGATTCAGTCCCCAAGCGGCTGCAACAGCTGGAGCTGCGGTGATCTGAAGCCAGGAGCCAAGAGCTTCTTCCGGGACTCCCACATGGGTGCAGGGTTCCAAGGCTTTGGGCTGTCCTTGACTTCCTTCCTAGGCCACTAGCAGGGAGTTGGATGGGAAGTGGGGAAGCTGTGACATGAACTCTCACCCATATGATATCCTGGCGTGTGGAAGGTGAGGACTTTAGCTTCTTGCCTACCGTACTGGGCCTGAGAGAGAATTCTGTCTGTTGCTTCACTCCTAAATGTCCACAGGGTTAGAGCTGAGTCCATCTGAAGCCAGGATCCAGGAGCTTTTCCAGGTCTCCCATGTTTGGGGCTCCAAGGCTGTCCACTGTTGCTTTCCTAGGCCATCAATAGGGAGCTCAATCCAAATGTAGCAGCCGGGACTTCAGCTGGCATCTATATGGGATGCCAGCATGGCGGGCAATAGATGAACTCACTACACCACAACGCTGGCCATACATTATTTCATTTCAGGTGGCATCTATATTGTGCATAATTATAATTCACTGGTTTTCATGGCTGTGCCTTATTCTGTTGTATGAATTGGCCAGAGTTTATTTGTTCCATCCCTGGTGGTCTTTTGGTTGCTTCTAGTTTGGGCTAGTAGGCCCAAAGCTTGTGTGTATGTTGTGCATGTGTTTTCAGGTTATAGAGCATGTATTACTATTGGGTAGATACGAATGGTCATAGAGTGTACACATGATGTCCTTCAGAAGAATACTTTTTTCCAATTTATGGTTTTTGTATAGCAATGCTTGTCAGTTCCCTTTGTTCCAAATACTTCCTTATGCTTCATATTGTCAGTATTTTAATATTAGCCATTCTCTTGGTTCTATTTAGCAGTATATTGTGGCCTTAAATTATAACCTTGTTTTTTGTTAGTATCTGCCAACTGTGTGAATTTTCCTTCTGGTGAAATGCTTGTACAGGTCTCTTGTAAATTTTTGTAAATTTTGTCATACTTTGCTGTCTTCTTTCTTTTTTTTTCAATTTGTTTGTTGTTACTTGAAACAGAGAGAAAGAGTGGGGGAGGGGAAGAGTTGGGGGGGAAGAGAGAGAGAGACTGAGCTTCATCAACCATCCCAAATGGCCACAGCGTCTGGAGCTGAGCTTGTCTGAGGCTGGAAGCAGAAACTTCTGGGTACACCATGTGGCTTTTTTGGGGGGTGAAGGTAGCCTTATATGTTACACATAGTTAGGGTTAAGGTCTGCATGCGTGTAATAAACATGAGAGCTCAAGGAGGAGGCCGGAGGTATCTTCTGGTAGCAGTTATTCTGGACTGACATCGAAGCCGAGGGGAGCAGGTGGGAAATAACTGATGGTCAAGGATTATAAACATTGGAAGCAATGATGCAGGCCTGGTTTTTCAGTCTGCCATCCACATTTTGTTCTTCATAGAGCAAGGCACTGTGTCTTTATTAAAGTAGCTCCCAGGAATATTCCATTGGAATTGGTGAGCCAGAGTAAATACTTGTTAGCATTTTATAGGTGACAAACATGGGACCAACAATGGTTAAATTACAGAGAGAAGGAGAAAGCTTCTATCCTCTGCTTCACTCCGGGGCAGGGCTCAGCCAAAACCACTAACCTGGAACTCTGCACGTTTCCTACTTGGGTAATAGATGCACAGTTACTTGGCAGATCTTCCTCTGCCTTCCCAGGTGTGTGAGCAGTGAGCTGGAAATGGATTAGCTGGAATTTGAAGCTGTGCTCATAAGGGGTGCTGGTGTCCCAGGAGGTGGCTTACCCGTTACTCCATAACAGTGACTTCTGCATATATAATTAAAAATTGTAAACATTGCATTCGGGATCATTTTTGGAACAAATTCACAAAAAAATATCCAGAACTACCCTTTGACCAGTGAAGTAGCGTAACTGATGGATACAAAGATGAAGTTGATGAACATTAGTTGATGTGCTTATTTTTTAATGCTTGTCTTTGAAAACCACTTATCCATCTGCATTGCTTTGTGGGAACATTGCCATTCAACTTCATATTTGAATGACTTTGATTATCAAAATCTAGTGAACAAGATTCAATGATTTGTAAATACTCAGTTTTACAGCATCCTGAGTATTTACTGGCTTCAGAGCTGTCATGCTGTCATTATGGTGGGGGCCACAAGGCATAATATTTATGGAATTTCCACACTGTTGAAGGAGTATTTAGCATATTGTGAGTTGCATGGCATTTTCAGTGCCTTTGTAGCATAAAGAGAAATGCTGTAAATTCTGGTAAATAATACCAATCATCACGAAGACATCTAAATTCAAACAAATGAAAAACAGTTTGCATTTTTTGAGGTAGATAGAGAACAGTAAGAGCAAGGGTACATTAAAGGAAATGAGGAGTGTTATCACTGGAGCTGTCAGGAACATTTGCAATCAAAATGAATGTGTATTGAAAAGCTCATCTACTGTTTTGCTGTTGATTATTACATTTAAACCAGCTTTTTAGTTGAGTGTTTAAATTGTACTCAGAACTAGCTTCTTATGACTCATAGGGTTATTTTGAAAGGAACTACAGAATTATGAAATTATAAACTATAATTGGCTATAGAATCAACGTGAGGTTCTGTGGAGTTCGCGGGAGAGCACTTAGAGAAGGCTTGCATTGAAGGAAGCCTTTCTGTAAGAGGGAGAACATCGGAACCTGGTGTCGATTGCTTAGTTTTATTGAGAGGAGACAGAGAGTAGAAGGTGTGGCAGTTTGGCAAGCCCACATCCAACAGACCTGGTAATTTAGCTGAAATTGGAGGTGTTTGCTGAGCAGGTGCTTGGCAGGGGTGAGAGAGGCCTGGAACATCGGGTGTGGGTGAAGGAGGTCGGCTTGAGCGTGCACCATGGCTTTGGTCGGTGGTACCACAGCAGCTCCTCTTGCTGTGTTCCAGAGTCTGATATATTTCCTAGCACCACAAGATATTTTTAAGGAGCAGAGAAGGTGGCAGGTTCAGACTTCATATAGGATGTAGGCTGGCGCTTATTCATGGAGGGCTAGTTGAGAGTAATCAGCCTTGTTAGAAAAGGAGTAAAAGCCATGTAATTCTAGAGATTGGGTCTTGTTCACTCTTTTATTATTCTGCTTCCTTTAGAGCTTTATTTCCTTTGGTTATGCTAAAATCCGTACTCAACACTGTGGATAGTAGCCTGTGGCAATAATGGTATCACCACCTGGGCAAGTTACTGTTTTTCACTCCAAATAGTAAAACTATCAAAGACATGGGGTAATATACCCAGCTTTTGGATGTGTGGTGTAGACTGTTGGTTTGACAGTCAGACCCTGTTGGCTCCTTGTTTTTGTAGGTAAAGTTTTGTTAGAGAAGAGCCTTGTCTATTCATTTTGAGATTATTTGTGACTACTTTTGTACTGTAATGGCAGAACTAGATAGTTGCAACAGAGGTTGTATGGCCCCTAAAGCCTAATTTTTTTTGTTTTTACCTTTTTCCATTTTTTGGTTATATTTTTGACAATCTTTACATAGTTAATTAGGATAAAAAGATTCAAGGGCTACAGGAAAGTGGGTAAAACTATTATTTCCACATTGTTTCCTTCATGTGTCTGAGGTAAAGGGGGATTTTAAGGGAGAAACCCCACCTAGTCTCCTACCAACCCCAGGTCCTGGATGAAAGCCTAAAATATTTCCAATTGGTTCCTTACAGAAAATGTTTTACTAGTCCATTTTACAGTGGGACAACAATTTGTTTCTTTAAGGATATGCAAATCTTTTTTGAAATAGGTGAATTAATACAATTCTGAATGGTCTCAGGACAATGAGGCTCATATAACTGACAGTGTTGGTTATTGTAATGAAGAAACTGGGGTGCTTGGTTTCAGGGACTTCTGTTTTGAAAAGGTCTTAGAAATAAAATCAGTTGTGGTCTTGGGTAATCCCACATGATTCTTGAACAACACTAACATTAGCATGAGAGTAATTAGGTCTTGTGCTTCACTAAGGGGTGGTCTGCTGATAAAGGAAGTTTTAATTAACCTTTGCTAATTATCTACACATTTAAAAACTAAGCCCTATGTGCAGAAGAAGCCCAGGAGTTTCTTTAGGAAATAAGCACATAAAAAAAGAAGATATTAAGAGGAATGAGGAGCAGAAAGGAAAAACTCCTGTATGAATATATTGGATGGGCCTGGCATATTTTGGTACTAGGCTACTGGTAGCCTAGTGGCTAAAGTCCTTGCCTTGCATGT